GCGCCGCCCATTCGCCACGTGGCCTCCAAGCACGGCAGCTCCGTGGATGGTGTCTTTGCTGCTTCTTGGACCTGGCAGCTGCCCACGCTGGCTGCAGCAGAGCCCGAGGTGGTGGCTGTGCCCCAGGCCCTCACGACGGGCAAAGCTCGACCCCAAAGGCGCAAGAAGACCCCAACGTTGGCCCCTGCTGGGCCCAAGCCCAGAGTGAAGAGGAGCCAGAGAGCGAAGCCTGTGGCTGTGCCAGACACTGATGATGTCTTTGCTGTGGGTGGCTCGGACAGCGAGGTGCCCCCCATTGTCATCCGCCCGGTGACACTGCCCTGCACCCCTCACCAGAAGGTCCATCCTGCCCAGCCACGTGCAGCTGCTGCTGCCAGGACTCCCTTCACCATCTTCAACGAGTCCTCCCCCCCAGCCAGCAGGTTGCGGCTCCCACGGGCACCCAAAGTCTTGGGGAGGGTCAAGTCCCGGCTGCAGGTGAGTGGGGAGGGGGCTGAGAGGGCAGCTCCCCTGCCTGGCACCCACCCTGACACCCCCCCTGTCCCTCTGCTTCAGGTGACCTTCAGCGATGACAGTGACGTGGAGGATCTCAAAGCAGGGCTGACCCCCGGAGCTACCTGCAAGAAATCCTGTGCCCAGCAAGTTGTGCCCCCCAAATCCTCAGGGTTGAGAGGGCAGGGCAGCAGTGCCCGCCCCCGCAGAGCCCCCCGAGCTGGGGCTGCAGGGGAGAGGAGGGAGCGAGCGACCCGCAGGGCGGCTGGCAGGAGAGAGAAGGAGGAGCGGGAGCTGCTGAGGGCTGTGGAGGAAGAGGAGGGGGCTCCAGGTGAGCTGGGCTACTCCAGGGATGTGGAGGGGGGGCTTTTGCCTTCATGCACCCCTAAGCAGTTGCACAGGTCTGTCCCTGCTGCTGCCACCAGTCCAAGGGACCAGGTGCCTCTGTCCCCACAGGCAGGAGACACCTGCCTTGGCACAGGCAGGAGGGCACGGACGGGGAGCAGGAGGTCCTGAGGCAAGAAGCCAGTGAGGACATCGTGGCAGTACAGTGGCTGGGCAAGGGGGACCCCCTGCCCCCCAAGGGGACCCTCTCCTCAGCCCTGCCCAAGGCTGGTGGTGAGAACCTGACACGGGGGGTGGGTTTGTTCTGGCTGGGCTGGTAATGGATCCAAGACCTCCCTGTCTTGATCTTGACCCACAGGGAGGATTTTGTCCTGTTTCCTGGGAAGGGGGACTGGGTGGGCACCAGGCTGCTGGCCAGGAGTACCATGGGGCTGCTCCATGAGCCTCCAGTGTGTGGGATGCTGGTCTTGGACTGGGACCTGGTGGCTGTGCTGGGGATGCTGTGTCTGTCCCCTCTGCTTCACCTCCCCTGAGGCCTCCGGGCTGATCCTGCCCTGGGCTTGGGCTGTTTTGTCCCTTCCAGATGTCTCCTCACTGGACACAGTCCTTGAGCTCCTGAAAGAAGCTTTCAACTGCATCAGCCATTGCCCTCCCAGTGTGCTCTACAGCCAGCTCTGCCAGCTCTTGGCTCTGGCCACGGGGAACCAGGACCCCCTTTCCACTGCCTACCTGCTCTCTGAGTCAGTCTCCATCACCACTCGCCATCAGCTGCTCAGCATCCTCCACAGGAAGATTCAGTGAGTTCCCTGCTCTCCTCTCCTCCCTGCAGCCTCCCAGAAAGGGTTCCCTCCCCACCACCAGTGCTCCAGCAAAGGTGATTTTTGGGGTGGTTATTTCTCCCCTGACTGACTCTGCCTCTGCAGCAAAGAGAAGAAGTCAGCAGGGGACGTGGCCGAGCAGCTCCGGGGGCTGTCCCTGCAGGAGGAGTGTCTGGAAAAACGCTGCCACCACCTCAGGGAGCTCCAGAAACTCTTCACCTTCAGCCCCACAGCACTGGGCTCCAGGGAGCGGGATGAGTTCCAGGCGCAGCTGGAGCAGATCCCCAGCGGTAAGGGCTGGTGTGAGCAGAGGGACCGGGCAGCTCAGCACCCCGAGGGTGCCCTGAGGGCTGTCCTTAAGGTCTGGGTGTCACTTGCAGGGGTGGCTGTGTGTGTGTTGACCCTCTCCAGCCTGCAGCCTGGCTGCGCGGGGGACACTCTGCTGCTGACCCGGCTGGAGAAGGGCACTGCTCCCCTCACCATCCGCATCCCCGCTGCTCCCAGCACAGTGAGTGCAGGCAGGGCTGGGAGAGGGGCAGCCCAGCTGCTCTTGGGGCTGCAGTGACAGCTCCTTTCCTCCTCCAGACGCCCCTGCACTTGCTGCTGAGGGACTTTGACACCATCCAGAAGGAGCAGAAGGAAGCCAACAGCTGCACAGAGAAGGAGAGCTGGTGGCTGCGCCGCTTCGAGCTGGACGGGAAGATGAAGGTGGGGGAATCCACCCTGTGCTCTGAGGTGGGGGATGTTTTGGAGAGAACTGGGGCATCTGGACCCTCTGCTGACTCTCTGACCTCTTGCAGAGCCTCATTGAGACCCTGGAGATGCAGGTGCTGGGCTGCTGGAGGGGTGCCCTGCTCCCCCCCAGCCCTGACCCTGCTCTGGCCGAGGCTGCCGCCCGCCTGCACCCCCAGCTCCGCTGCTGCGGCTTCAGGGACACGGATCCCACCCTGCTCAAGGTGCTGTGAGAGGTTTTGGGGAGCTGAGCTCCTGCTTTGCCTCTGCTCACCCCCTCCTCCTTCCCCCAGGTGGTGCTGAACGCTGCTGCCCTCCTCACCCCCCGTGATGCCCAAGCCTTGGCCTCGGGGCTCTGCCCCGCGCAGCCCCACCAGGCACAGCTGCTCTTGCAGGAGGTGCTGGAGAAGCACAGACCCTGCCCTAAGCAGCCCCCTGGCTCCCTTGTCCTGGTGCTGGATAAGGTGAGCCCTCTGCTTCTGCTTCACCTCCTGCCTCTGCTGCCTCCCTGCTGCTCACACCCTCCTCTTCCTCCCAGCACCTGCAGAAGCTGCCCTGGGAGAGCATGACCTGCCTGAAGTCCCTGCCCGTCACCAGGCTCCCTTCCCTGCGCTTCCTGCTCAGCTACTCCCTGGCACAGAAGGTGAGATGATGGTGGGAGCCCCACATCTCCCAGCTGTGGGTGTTGGGGGACCCTCCTCAAACCCTGTGCTGGGTTGGCTCCCACTTCTCCCCCCCCCCCCTCTCCACCAGCAGCCACGGTCTGTGCTGAGCCGGGGTGTGGACCCCGGGAGCACCTTCTATGTCCTCAACCCGCAGAGGAACCTCCTGGGCACGGAGCAGCGATTTCGGGAGTGGTTTGAGAGGTGGGTTGGGCATCTTGGGGAGGTGGGAGTGTGTGTTGGGGGGTGATCTGTGCCCCCCAGCCCTACTGACCGCCTCTCCTGCAGGGAGCCTGGCTGGAAGGGGGTGACAGGAGCCGTCCCCAGCCCCCTGCAGATCCAGGCAGCCCTCCAGGAGCACGATCTCTACATGTGAGCATCACCAGGGCTGCTCGGGGACAGCCTGGGTGGGGGTGCCCAGGGGGAGGGTACAAGGGCAGCTCAGGTTCACCCCTGGGGTGGCTTATCCCCATAGTTAGATGGGCTCTGGGTGCTGGTTTCTCCCCCAGTTAGATGGGATATGGTGCAGGTTTCTTCCCCCCAGTTAGAGGGTCCCTTGGGGCTGATTTCTCCCCCCCAGTTAGATGGGCTCTGGGTGCTGGTTTCTCCCCCAGTTAGATGGGATATGGTGCAGGTTTCTTCCCCCCAGTTAGAGGGTCCCTTGGGGCTGATTTCTCCCCCCCAGTTAGATGGGCTCTGGGTGCTGGTTTCTCCCCCAGTTCAAGGGTCCCTGGGTGCTGGTTTCTCCCCCCCCAGTGAGAGGGTCCCTTGGGGTTGGTTCCCCCCCCCGTTAGCTGGGCTCTGGGTGCTGGTTTCCCCCCCAGTTAGATGGGCTCTGGGTGCTGGTTTCTCCCCCAGTTAGATGGGATATGGTGCAGGTTTCTTCCCCCCAGTTAGAGGGTCCCTTGGGGCTGATTTCTCCCCCCCAGTTAGATGGGCTCTGGGTGCTGGTTTCTCCCCCAGTTAGATGGGATATGGTGCAGGTTTCTTCCCCCCAGTTAGAGGGTCCCTTGGGGCTGATTTCTCCCCCCCAGTTAGATGGGCTCTGGGTGCTGGTTTCTCCCCCAGTTAGATGGGATATGGTGCAGGTTTCTTCCCCCCAGTTAGAGGGTCCCTTGGGGCTGATTTCTCCCCCCCAGTTAGATGGGCTCTGGGTGCTGGTTTCTCCCCCAGTTCAAGGGTCCCTGGGTGCTGGTTTCTCCCCCCCCAGTGAGAGGGTCCCTTGGGGTTGGTTTCCCCCCCAGTTAGATGGGCTCTGGGTGCTGGTTTCCCCCCCAGTTAGATGGGCTCTGGGTGCTGGTTTCTCCCCCAGTTAGATGGGATATGGTGCAGGTTTCTTCCCCCCAGTTAGAGGGTCCCTTGGGGCTGATTTCTCCCCCCCAGTTAGATGGGCTCTGGGTGCTGGTTTCTCCCCCAGTTCAAGGGTCCCTGGGTGCTGGTTTCTCCCCCCCCAGTGAGAGGGTCCCTTGGGGTTGGTTTCCCCCCCAGTTAGATGGGCTCTGGGTGCTGGTTTCCCCCCCAGTTAGATGGGCTCTGGGTGCTGGTTTCTCCCCCAGTTAGATGGGATATGGTGCAGGTTTCTTCCCCCCAGTTAGAGGGTCCCTTGGGGCTGATTTCTCCCCCCCAGTTAGATGGGCTCTGGGTGCTGGTTTCTCCCCCAGTTCAAGGGTCCCTGGGTGCTGGTTTCTCCCCCCCCAGTGAGAGGGTCCCTTGGGGTTGGTTTCCCCCCCAGTTAGATGGGCTCTGGGTGCTGGTTTCCCCCCCAGTTAGATGGGCTCTGGGTGCTGGTTTCTCCCCCAGTTAGATGGGATATGGTGCAGGTTTCTTCCCCCCAGTTAGAGGGTCCCTTGGGGCTGATTTCTCCCCCCCAGTTAGATGGGCTCTGGGTGCTGGTTTCTCCCCCAGTTCAAGGGTCCCTGGGTGCTGGTTTCTCCCCCCCCAGTGAGAGGGTCCCTTGGGGTTGGTTTCCCCCCCAGTTAGATGGGCTCTGGG